TGGGGGCTGCAGGGGGGGTCACTGGGGAGGGCTGCACACTGCAGGGGCATCACTGGAGGGGCTCCTGTGCTCTGCAGGGCTGCTGGCTGCATCCTGGCCGAGCTGCTGGCACACAAACCACTGCTGCCAGGCACCTCTGAGATCCACCAGATTGACCTGATCGTGCAGCTCCTGGGGACGCCCAACGAGAACATCTGGCCGGTGAGAGCTCCCTGCCCGTTCTCCCCCTGTCCCTTCTCCCTGGAGCTGCCCTGGCCCCTCCTCACACCCTGTTCCCTCCAGGGCTTCTCCAAGCTGCCCCTGGCCACGCAGTACACCCTGCGCAAGCAGCCCTACAACAACCTCAAGCACAGGTTCCCCTGGCTCTCGGAGGCTGGGCTGCGACTGCTCAACTTCCTCTTCATGTATGACCCCAAGAAAAGGTAAAGGCAGGCAGGATGTGGGGTGGGCAGGGCAGGGACCTGTCCCACGCTGTCCCCCAGCCTGGGGTGGTCCCTGTCACTTGTCCTTGTCCCCGCAGGGCCACGGCCAAGGACTGCCTGGAGAGCTCCTACTTCAAGGAGAAGCCCTTGCGTGAGTACTCGGCGTGCTGGGGCAGGGCTGGGGTGCTTTGGCCCTTGCTGACTGACCCCTGTCTGTGCCCCACAGCGTGTGAGCCCGAGCTGATGCCCACCTTCCCACACCACCGGAACAAGCGGGCGGCCAGCACGGCCCTGGAGAGCCAGACCAAGCGCAGCAAGCCCTGAGCTGTGCCCTGGAACAGCCTGACGTGTCCTGGCTGAGGAGGATTCCCTCAGCCCAGCAGTCCCAGCACCATGGGGACGGCTCCTCCATCCACCTGCCCGTGCAGGACAGGGCAGGCTCCGGTCTGCAGCTGGGTGAGCAGGGCCCCAGAGCCAGGAGAGAGGAGAGATGGGGCCCGGGGATGCCCAGGCTTGGCAGGCTCAGTCCTGTCCCAGGCGGGTCCTGGTTTGTGCTGTCTGTGGGGGGAACCCCGACTCTGCCATCAATAAAAGCATCTGGCAGTGGCAACATTGTGTTGAGCGACTTCAATGTTTGGTGCCAGCAGGAGTGGGAGAAGCTGTGGGGACAGGCATACCTCCATGACAGCTCAGGTTCTGTCCCCCTTTAAGAGGATCCTGGTCCCCACTCTCAGGGAGGCAGGAGCTGCTCCTGCAGGGTGCTGTGCTGTCAGATATCACTGCACCCCTGCACCAGGCACCTTGCTCCCCCTCACCAGGACAGAACACCTCATGCTGAGGCAGCCACTTTACTGATGCACAGAATAATTTACAGCAGCAGTGCCCGGGCTGGAGCAGGGCCTGGCACCGCTGTCTCAGGGGCTGACGAGTCCAGGTCCTTGTGCTGGGCAACAGGGCCATGTCAGGAGTGGGGAACAGAGCCCTGGGCCAGCAGCATGTCCAGCTCTGGGCACTGTGTCAGGAGCTGGGGGCAGAGCCCTGGGCCAGCAGCATGTCCAGCTCTGGGCACTGTGTCAGGAGCTGGGGGCAGAGCCCTGGGCCAGCAGCATGTCCAGCTCTGGNCCGGGGTAGGGATGGCTTTTCCACTGGCTGCCTTCCACCAGATCACGCTGCTCTGTCCGGCCTGGCCTTGGGCACTGCCAGGGATCCGGGGGCAGCCCAGCTTCTCTGGGTGCCTGTGCCAGGGCCTGCCCACCCTGCCAGGGAAGGTTCCTTACGGACATCCCGTCCATCGCTGCCCTTGGGAAGCCATTCCCCGTGTGGAATCCCAGCACGGTTTGGGTCGGGAAGCGCCTGTAGCCCCCACAGTTCCCCCTGTGGCTGAGTCGGGGGACTGAGGTGAGGTGGGGGCAATGCCAGGTGTGCGTCCTGGTGCCAGGCAATGCCAGGTGTGTGTCCTGGTGCCAAGGCGGCCTGTGCTGTCCCCAGACCGTGCCCGGGACACGCTAACCAACGAGACGGTGGCCCTGAAGAAGGTGCGGATGGACAACGAGAAGGATGGTAATGGAGGAGGGGACAGGGCTGGCTCTGCCTCCAGGCCGTTCTGCAGCACTGTGTTCCTCCCTCCTTCCCTCCCCAGGAATGCCCATCAGCAGCCTGCGGGAGATCACCCTGCTCCTGCAGCTCCAGCACCCCAACATTGTGGAGCTGAAGGACGTGGTTGTGGGAAACCACCTGGAGAGGTGATAGTCCCCTTTCTGTCCTCCCTGTGCCTCCCAAACCTTCCCTGGAGCCCTGGGCTGCCCCAGCAGCCAGAGCTGTGCTGGGGGAGGCTCTCACCTTGCCTTGTGTCCCACAGCATTTTCCTGGTGATGGGGTACTGCGAGCAGGACCTGGCCAGTCTCCTGGAGAACATGCAAACGCCCTTCTCAGAGGCTCAGGTACAGGCTGGGGCAGGATTTGGGTCCAGCACCCCTGGGAGGGTGCTGCCATTCCATGTGGGCACTGTGAAGGGCTCCCTAGACCTTGAGCTGGGGGATTCCAGGGATTCTGATGGAGCTGGGCTTTGCTGACTCTCAGGGAAGCCTTCAGGGACTTTGCAGGCTGGGTTTGGGGTGGGAGTAAACTGTCAGGGAAACAGAGCTGGGAGAAAATGCCCACCCAGAACCCCCTGGGAGGACACAGGGGTGGAGGGACTGCAGGACACCCCAGTGGGTTTGGGCTGTGTGGCTTTGTCCGTCAGTGCTGCTCCCACAGAGGTGACAGCTCCTGTCCTCTGTCCCCAGGTGAAGTGCATCATCCTGCAGGTGCTCAGGGGCCTGCAGTACCTCCATGAGAACTACATCATCCACAGGTGGGAGTGGGGGACAGAGGGGGTCTGGGGACACCTCCCACGTCCTGGGAGCACCGGCAGGGCAGGGAGGCCATGGAACGATGGGATGGATTTCCTGTGTGGTCTCTCAGCTCCAGCTGCTGTTTCCCACAGGGACCTGAAGGTCTCCAACCTGCTGATGACCGACAAGGGCTGTGTGAAGATAGGTGAGTGCAGGCACCTGCACTGGGCCTGGCTGCTCTGTGCCATGAGCACAGCTCAGAGCCAGGCTCCCTCCTGACTGCCACTCTCTCTTGCAGCTGATTTTGGGCTGGCACGCACCTACGGGATGCCCCCTAAGCCCATGACCCCCAAAGTGGTGACCCTGTGGTGAGTGGCAGTGCCAGGGTGGGTGTCCCACTGGGATAGGTGGTGCCAGCTCTGACAGAGAGTGTCCCCTTGCAGGTACCGTGCACCAGAGCTGCTGCTGGGCATGACCACCCAGACCACCAGCATTGACATGTGGTAAGGGGGGCTGGGGGCTGCAGGGGNTGGGGAGCCCTGCAGGCTCTCCTGCTCCTCCCGAGCAGCCCCTGAGGAGCTCAGCCCGCAGCTCAGCTCTGGGCAGGGAACGCCAGAGGGGTTGGGGAGCAGCATCCCTAAGCAGGGAGATCAATCAATCCCCTCAGTGTTCCCCTCAGACAGGGCGTGGGGCCCTGCCAGCAGCAGCACCCCCAGACAAAGCCCCCCAGAATCCAGCACAGCATTCCCACATTCCCACCGGGATCACAGCGGGCTCAGGGAAGAGCTGTCACCCCCCCAGAACAGTCCAGAGGCACGGGGGCTGCAGGAGGGGGTCCTGCTCCAGCAGTGCCATCCACAGCCCCAGGGAGAGCTCAGTTCCTCAGGGCAGCCAGCCTGCAGGGAGAGCAGCACAGGGAGAGCAGGGTCAGGGCAGCAGGAGCAGCCCCAGGCAGGGACAGGGAGCCTCTGTGAGCCCCCAAGGAGGGACAGGGAGCCCCTGTGAGCCCCAGGGAGGGACAGAGAGCCCCCAGGAAGGGACAGGGAACCCCTGTAAGCCCCAGGAAGGGGCAGCTAGCTCCTCCCCTGGGAGCACAGGGACAGGGCCAGCACCAACCTCCGGGACAGCTGGTCCTCCTGGGAGCGCACAGAGCTCTCCCCCAGGGCCGAGGCGCCCTCGGGCAGCTGGCTCAGCTGGTCCATGATCTCCAGCCCGTTCTCCTCGGCGATCTGCACGATCAGGCTGTCCACCTGCTCCTGCGGTGTGCTCAGCGTGGTGGCCGAGCTCATGGAGTCCTCCATGACCTGGGACAGACACAGCCCTGTCCCCCTGCCCGGACACAGCCCCGCCAGGGGTCTCACCCTGCCCGCCCAGCACTCACCGACGTGTGGACATCCAGGTTCTGCACTTGCTGCTCGAATTTATCCATCACTGCCGACACCTTCTGCAGGTCCATGGAGCTCAGGGCCTTGTCCAGAGCCTTGGTCACCTGGGCCATGTTCTTCGTCACCTGCAAGAGGAGATTGTCTCAGGGTGCTCTGAGGGTGGCAGACAAACCCAAGCACCATCCTGACACCATCCCAGGTAGGATGAACCTGTCTGAGGGGTCTGACACCACCAGGAGCCCTGCTGGGGTCAGCTGGGGACACGGGGGTGCCAGGGGTTGTCACCCTGTTTTATTAAGATTTTTTAAGTTTCCTGATGTTTACATTCTTGTAGCAAACTTTCTCACACGCTCCCTGTAAATAACTGATTGTTTTGCATTCTTTTATGGAGGAGGAATTTGATGGGACTGTGGGTTTGTCCCGTGTCACTGGAGAGGTGGCACTGTCACCCTCCAATCCACTGTCACTTTTGGAGATCTATAAATGTTAGAGTCAGAAAATAAACTTCCCTTTTCCCACCTTGAGAGCAGCAGTGTGTGTGTGCACTCACGTTGTTTTGTGTCCTACAGTGCCAGGGGGTGGCTGGGGGCAGAGAGAGGGGAAGCTCCATGTGGGGATGGGTATCTATGGTATTTTTTGAAAAACCCTTTGCCAGGATTTTTCTCCTGAGAAAGTGTCTGTGGGGTGAAACACCACACACCCACTCAGCCAAAGGTGTCTGTGGGGTGAAAGCACTGCAGCTGCCACCTTTGGTCAAGCAGCAAGGGCCGGACGAGCCCAGGAATGTGTCATAGACATCTTTATGAAAAATCCTTTCCTTAGGATTTTTCCTCCTGAGAAGCTGAAAGGCCTCAGGAACAAAATGTAAACAATGGTTATCTGCTGCTGTGGAATGCAACAGGTGGATCTTTGATTGGTCTATGTTGGAGGTTTCTAACTAATGGCCAATCACAGCCCAGCTGGCTCAGACAGAGAGTCCGAGACAGAGCCTTTGTTATCATTCTTTTCTATTCTATTCTTAGCCAGCCTTCTAACGAAACCCTTTCTTCTATCCTTTTAGTACAGTTTTAATGTAATATATATCATAAAATAATGAATCAGCCTTGTGAACCATGGAGTCAGATCCTCTTCCCTCATCCTCACCCCTGTGAACGCCATCACAGGCCTGTCCCATCCAGCTGTATTGGTATTTAATTCCAATATAAGAGTCAGCTCCTGTCTCTGCCCTGTTCCCGAGGCCCCTGTGAGCACCCCCAGGGCTNCAGCCTGGGCGTCCTGCGCACCCTGTACCGCCTGGGTGCCCGCTACATGACCCTCACCCACAGCTGCAACACCCCCTGGTAGGGCCCCCGGGGGCACGGAGGGTGGCAGCGCTGCCATGGGGGGATGGGGTCAGAGGGGTGGCCACTCTGATGCTCTCCCTGCTCTGCAGGGCTGACAACTGGCTGGTGGATACCAAAGATGAGGAACCTGTGCACCACGGCCTCTCACCCTTTGGGAAGGTGAGGAGTAACATCAGTGGTGCCCAGGAGCAGTGGCATTGGAGGAATGTGGTACTGGCATCTCCTGGCACCATGCTGGGTGCAGTGATCCATCCATCCATCCATCATCCCTCCATCCATCCATCCATCCATCCATCATCCATCCATCCATCCATCCATCCATCCATCCATCCATCCATCCATCCATCCCTCTGACCCCCCAGCCAAAGCCACCCAAGCAGCCCCAGATATGCCCAGAGGGGACCCCTCCCATGTCCCCTCAGCCCCCAGCCCCGTCCCCTGTCCCTGCAGATGGTGGTGGAGGAGATGAACCGCCTGGGCATGATGGTGGACCTGGCCCACGTCTCAGTGGACACCATGAAGATGGTGCTGAACATCTCCAAGGCCCCCGTCATCTTCAGCCACTCCTCTGCCTACAGCCTCTGCCAGCACCGCCGCAACGTGCCCGACGACGTGCTGCGGCTGGTGGTGAGCGTGGGGCACAGCCAGGGAGACATGGGGGACTCTGGGGGCACAGCCAGGGACACGGGGGGCTCTGGGGGCACAGGGCAGGGACATGGGGGGCTCTGTGGGCTCAGAGCTGTTTCCCCCCAGGCCTCCACGGGCAGTTTGGTGATGGTCAACTTCTACAACGCCTACGTGACCTGCAGTGAGAAGGCGCAGCTGTCGGACGTGGCAGGTGAGGGGGTGCCCAGGTGGCTGGGGGTGCCAGTGTCCCCCCCTGCCCTGCTCACCCCCGTGTCCCCCCACAGACCACATGGACTATGTGAAGAAGGTGGCTGGTGCCCAGGCTGTCGGCTTCGGGGGGGACTACGACGGGGTCTCGGGGTAAAGAGGGTGATGGATGGGAGGGGATGGGATGGGATGGGATGGGACAGCGTCCCCACCGTGGGGACATCGTGAGGGGCAGGGGTGTCCCTCCCTGCACCTTGTGTGGGCAGCTGGGGGTGCTGGGGGTGGCCCAGCTGTGAGCTGTGGGGTGGCACAGGGTCCCCACCGGCCTGGAGGACGTCTCCAAGTATCCCATGCTGGTGGCCGAGCTGCTGGCGAGGAACTGGACGGAGCAGGAGGTGAGGGGAGCCCTGGCTGAGAACCTGCTCCGGGTCTTCAGCGAGGTGGAGGAGGTGAGTGGGGCACGGGGAGCACGGGGCACAGGGAGGGACAGGGCAAGGGGACCTGTGGGGACACGAGTGGCACCGGGAGCATTGGAATGGGGATGTATGGGACACGAGGACACTTGGGGCAGCAGCCACAGGTGGAACATCGGGGCGTGTGGCACTCAGGAATTTGTGGGGACACACGGGGCACGGGGATGTGTGTGGGGTGGTGGCACCGGGACGTGCGGGGTGGCAGGGGCTCCGTGCCCCTCTCAGGGGGAGCCCACGCTGTCCCTCGGCAGGTGAAGAGAAGCCTGCAGAGC